AATGGTCAAAAATCCTATCCCACACATGACTTTTAAATGAGATTAACTCTCTTTATTATAATAAAGAAAGTTGGAGAGGTCAAAACAGCAACAAAGATTTGCACCAAGTGTAGGTGTTGGCTTCGGCAACACGCTCCAAAATTAAAATCCAAATTGAGTTGGTTTCGGACTCGGGTTTTGACCCAACCCGTGTGACACCTTCCAGGTACATTGAATCTGGACGTGTTACATTTTAATTGTCCACCACCTGATGGTTTTAGGAGTTATAAAGTGTATTATGATGAGTTAAACACCATAATGTTGTCCATTTATTAAGTTGATTAAATGTGATGAGTAGTTAATCACCTTAATGTTGCCGTTTATAAGGTGGATTGAATGTGTTCATTAATGGCTGGATGTCACAAGATGACCACCAAAATTCTTCTACTTGTGATGGAAGTCTTTATAGGACATAGAGTTGTAGAAGAAAGAACACACTCGATCATACAATTATCTGCGTACTCTCAAAAGCCTCACACATCATAACATTCAAGTGTTCTGTTCTCGAATACATTTAAGTTCATCGTAGCTTGAAAGCTGGTGTGCTACAGTTGTATTTTTGGGACGAGACACCTGAATCCGTTAGCACTAAACGACTCATTTTCGTCTTGCGGAAAGAGCAATCGCCTCAGCTTTGCTATCGATTTATTTTTTGTCTTTCCGCTTTCAGTAGTAATTTTGTTTTTCTTACTTATAATTTTAATTGTACGAACTGAAAACATCATTTTCAGTTCATAAGTTTTCCGTTGTAATCAAAACACACATTCTGTAACACTAAATCCTAGAGTTTCTTGTTGATTGCTCTAGATATGCCGACGGATTAGATCTCAATTATCTATTGTATTATTATAACATTGTTTAATAGAAACCTTCATCTAGTTAGTATTAAATTTTATAAGAATTGAATTTATAAGAATAAATAAATAAATAAATGAAAGTTGTTGCTCAAATTGGCATATACAATATGCCAAGTAAATCTTTCTTTGCCGCCATAAGATATGGTCAAATAAATTAATCACCAAATCATGATGGAGAATGGACAAAAATGCACATGACATATGGCCCATGTGAAGTGACAATCTCATTACAATGAAAATAAATTTGAAATATGGAAAGGGTACCAAAGACTGTTCAAAGGTATAAAAAAGGTGCATGCATTGCATAATTGCACTGCTGCCCTCAAAGGGAATATGAAAAATTTATAGGTGAATCCACTTCTTTGTTTAAAACGCTTGTTTAGTAAGTGAATCGAGCTCAAATTTATTTAAAATTCAGTTTAATTAATAATGAGTTGCATAAAGCTTTGTCAAGACTCGATAAAAGGAGTTTTTACATAATTTGTTGAATGTAAAACATTAGTCTGGTTACAACTAGTTAAGATTTTTGATAAATGAGCCAAGCCTGAACGTGAATAGTTAATGAATAATCGTGCTTGATTCAGCTCAAGTACTAAAATCTCGAGCTCAACTCTTCTCGTTTACACCTCTATGTATTGTTCTCATTTGAGAATTCTTTATCGAAATTACAAATAGATATTTATTTATTTATTTATTTATTTATATATATATATATATATTTATATTACATTTTTTCTCCTAAATGTTTATTAACAAAATAAATGAAAAAACAACAAAAATTGAAAACTACATATTTTTTCAACAGCGAAAGAGTAAGAGCATATTTGTTTCAAGCGTAAAGGCATTTCTTCATTTCTTCTTTAGAATGTGAGAAATCGATTCGATCAATCTTAGGCGAACAAGCGGAATAGACTGTCTATAGATCAAGACTTTAAAGACACATCTTTTACACTTAAAATATATTCTTACACATATTTTTTAATACTATGTTTTTCTATTCAATCAACTCTAATCAATGCACTTTGTCAAATATTCATTCATAACACACACACATACACACACACACACACACACACACACACACACACATTTAAAAGATCACTGTTATAGCCATGATGTGACTAATAATCAAGTTCATCACATATATCCTTAATTCTATCCCATAAATCTCGAGTTATTAATTAAATACTTAAAATTTACAAACTACACCACTTAATTAACTTCATTGTACAGAAAATATGTTTAATGCCCTTCACATAGGTGAGTGTGACACATATACGTATATAACTCTACGTCAAGCATTGTGTTCAAAACAATTAAAGAAATCGTGAGTCTAAAGAAAAGTGAACAATCATTTAATAAAATGCCAAAATACGAAAGAATTAAGAGCATTGACCAATAAAATTTGGCGGATTAAAGGCTAAATCCGTTGACTATTTGGGTTAACGTGTAATTTAGAATGCTTTGAACCTAAATAAATGAATTAGGCTGGTTGGCTACGTGGTGAAAGTGAGGTACTAACTACAAATTCCACACTTTCAAAA